GGCTGGCTGTGCCATTTCGGGGTGCAGGAGACAGGGGACCCCAACGCGCCGTCACACCGTGTCAAAGCAAAGCGCGGCTTGCTGTGCGGGGTGTGTTCTCCGCTATTTGGCCATGCAGCTGTGAATTCTCAAAACGTTTTGTGTGTTGCCGATCCGGGGGGATCTGCCGAAACCAAACACACCTGCCATCCAATGTCACCACCTCGGGTTCTTCTAGCCCCCGACGCGCTGCTCTCATGCCGCGGCACGTCACCAGTGGGGCCGAACCGAGTCACCTGCCTTGGGTCCTCTTTTCCTCCTGCCGCAGGCTGGGCCACGCAGAGCACGAGATCACAGCCGCCTTCTCCAGGTTTGACACCGACGGGAACCAGATCCTGGACGAAGAGGAGCAGAAGCGCATGAGGAACGACCTAGAGGAGAAACGGGTAAAGGCGGGGGCTGAGTCGGGAGCCGGTGGTGACACAGCTCCCCCTCCAGAGTGCCTTGGGCCCTGCGCCCCGGCAGGCCTGGGGTGCCGGGGATGGGAAGGCGCCGTTCTGACAGCCTGGCCTGTGTGAGCGACCTAGGCCTGGTCGCTGCCGTCCGGCCGACGCTCTCTGCCTTCCAGGTCGCCTTGAGCGCCGAGATTGAAAACCTGGGCAAGTCCTACGGTGACGACAGCCCAGGGGACAAGCTGAGCCTCGTGGATGCAAAGAACAATCACGCCAACAAGGCCGCCTGGGTGTCCGAGGAGGAATTCCAGAGGTGGGTCACTGCGGGGGCTGGGCCAGCGCCGGGAAGCAAAGGGCACGGTTTCCTGCTGTCCCGCCCCCTCGCGGCGCCACGCCCACCTGGGCCTCGCGGGCATGACCTGGTCCTGGCCCCCCGCATGGCTGAGGGTGGCCGCTCAGGGCGAATCGCTCAGACCCGGGGCTCCTTGCAGCCCCGACTGGAGACCTGCAAACAGACCACACGCCCGTCCCACCGAGCGCTCCAGCCACCAATCCGGCCAGCCGGAACCTCCCGAGCAAACCCCCCAGGCACCCCAGCTCTCCCTGCGCCCCCATCAGCATAGCCACTGGCTGAGCCTTCCTCGCCCATTGCCCTGCGCAGCGCACAGTTCTCACGCCACACACAGGTCTCATGCAAGTACACGAATAGCACACTCGGCATCAGTAGAACACAAGCTCTCACTGGACACCTCACATGGCCCCTTTTACCAACTTTTGGGGCAACCCCCCCCACGGGTGCAGCAGAGACCTGTCTGATCCCCTTAAAATCCAGTAATGTGACACCTTGTGACAGCGCGTTGGGGTTTCCCCGTCTCCTGCACCCCCGTCGTGGCACGAACAGACTCCGCCAGCCAGTAGAACAGGGGAGTTTATTGCTTCTCCACGATACAGCCCAGCACAGATGCAATCTGGTTACAGGAACTGGGGCTAGGAGGACTCAGGGCCCCCCCTTGAGATTGGGGGTGGCTGGGCCCTACAATCCCAGCTCCCCTCCCTAGCCCCTTCTCCCCTGCTTCCCAGACAGAAAGTAAAGCCCCCTCCCCTTGTTCAGACCCCTTCCCTCATCAGGTGGGAGCCAGCTGGGCCATTGTCTATGTGGCATGAGGCTCTCAGGGCCCCCCCGGCAGTGCTACAGATGCAGGCCAGCAGGCGTCACCCCCAGCCCACACAGCACCCAGTGACAGAGGGGGCCAAGGGCCGCTGGAGCAAACAGCCCCCCACTGCTCACCCCTGCCTTAGGGAGCCAGGGCGGGGCCATGCTGCAGGCAGAGGGCGGAGGGGTGGCTGGCGCATGGCAGAAGTCTGAGGGGCGGAGGCGCCCTGATTCGCGCCCGCCGAGCGGGTGGGGCTGC